GTAATAAATACTGCATGTATTAATTCCTTCTTTCATTTTCATAATTACACCAGACAGTGGCTAGTATTAAATAATCAAGATATAGTGGAACCTCTACTTATGAGTGCATCCATGTGTAAGTTTTTCCAGATACGAGCAGTCGCTCGATCAATTTTTTTGCTTCCAGACACGAGCGAAATTGCTAGATGCGAGCGGGCCTCAAGGGAGGTTCCTTGACACTGGTGAGGGGCTCTTGCTCATGATCTAGGGAATTGGATCTCAGTTGGAATATCTTATTGAAACTTGGGCAATGTATGATGGAAAGGTGCTTCGTAACGTACACCAAAAATTAAAGAAATTGGACCATAAATAATGGAGTTCACTTCTCAGCCATTAGCCTCCCCTTAGCGGTATATTTTTGTATAGTTTTTATGGTTGTATTCTCGTTTTTTTTGGTCTCTTTTGATAGACTGGAAAATATACTACAGAAATAGATATGATTTTGATTTTGTCACAATGAAAAGTACAGTGGACCCCCGCATAACGATTACCTCCGAATGCGACCAATTATGTAAGTGTATTTATGTAAGTGTGTTTGTACGTGTATGTTTGGGGGTCTGAAATGGACTAATCTACTTCACAATATTTCTTATGGGAACAAATTCGGTCAGTACTGGCACCTGAACATACTTCTGGAGATGAAAAAATATCGTTAACTGGGGGTCCACTGTACCTTGAAATTAAGCTCAAAGTAGCAGAAATGTTCGATTCTTTGGCAATGTTCAAGAGTAAACAAATGACGTCACTGTCCAATACCTGTTCAATTGGCACTGCCCCTCAACCTTCACAAAATGGAAAGCTCTTCAACACACTAGCAAAAGTGGGAGCAGACTTCATGAGGCAGCAGTGGCAGACATCATGAGGTAGCAGTGGCAGACAACATGAAGCAGCAGTGGCAGACAACATGAAGCAGCAGTGGCAGACAACATGAAGCAGCAGTGGCAGACAAACATAAGTAGCGAATGTGCATGACAACAGAGAAGCAATGAGTCAGCAACTGTCGATGGCACTGCCCAGACTTCACAAGGAAATCTTAACACAAGCAAAGGGAGCAGACTTCATGAGGCAGCAGTGGCAGACATCATGAGGTAGCAGTGGCAGACAACATGAAGCAGCAGTGGCAGACAACATGAAGCAGCAGTGGCAGACAACATGAAGCAGCAGTGGCAGACAACATGAAGCAGCAGTGACAGACAACATGAAGCAGCAGTGGCAGACAATGTGAGGCAGCAGTGGCAGGCAACATGAAGCAGCAATGGCAGGCAACATGAAGCAGCAGTGTCTGACTTTTTTGGGTTATCCTAGGTTCTCTACACATAAGAACATAAGAAAGAAGGAACACTGCAACAGGCCTACTGACCCATGAGAAGCGGGTCCATGCCACCCCCCGGCTTAGAACAATGACCACCTAGTCAGGTCACTTCCACTTAAGAAAGGGGCATGGTATCAGATCTGGTAGCACAAGCTAGTGGTGGCCCTATAAACACCAACAACAACAATGGCCGCTGTCACCACCACTAGCCACACAAGTAATGACATGTATTTTATTCATTCTAATGTATATATATCATGTTTCTATGTTATTAATATTGTTTATTATGTCATATTAGATGAATTGTGATAGATAAATAAGCTGTAGAGTTGATATTAGGGAAATTATTGAAATATTTTGGCATGCCTGGAATTCCACTGGAACGGATTAATTCCATTTCAGTTAATTTAAATGAGGAAAACTGACTCTGCAAACAAGCAAATCCAGATGTGAGCAAGGTCATGGAACAGATTAAACTCGTAAGTAGAGGTTCCACTGTATACCAACAAATTGCCATACCTTAATTATAAACCAAAATCAGAAACTGAAATGAATTAACATGCTAAACATATGTCATAATGGTGCAAGGAAATTTATGAAAAATCTGAGCTAGCTCTAAATGGTTTAAAACTGCCCTATTAATTATGGCAATACTACTAACATGACTTTTTTTTTATATTTCCTAGCATTTGCTCGATGAGATAGAAAAGAAATTCCCAAAATCTGACATACACTTGACAATAAGAATATGGATCTATAACTAAAAGACAATGCAATGCATTGCTTAGCTATTAATTAAGGCATTCTAGCAAAGAACTGTATTAGCTACAATGTGGTGTTCAACACTTCTCTGTTTCAAACTAATGCAAACCCTTAAAATGATACTGTGGTTTACCAGACATACCTGGATTGGCTTTTACACTATGCTTCTCTGTGGAAATATTACAAGTGACTTAGAACTCAAAACTTTATATATAAATTATATTAATTACACACATATAGATATATTTCTTGAACACTGACTGTTTATCACCAAGGTAGAGCAGCCCTGAAGGAAATACATTCATTATCACTCATTCCACAGTTGGCTTTCCAGAAATGCATGAACATTACAGTTCAAATAATCCACTGAACTGTAACATCCTCACCCATCCTTCAGAGTGCAGGCACTGTACATCCCTTCTCCAGAATTCAAGTCTATCTAAATAGTTTGTCTAAATCTCATTCATGCTTACACTGCAACAGCATGTCAAAACTCTACCCCTTACACAAAGAAAAATTTAACATTTTCACATATTAACTGAATGCTCAAGCCCCTACTTCTAAAAACCTCTTATACACCCTCCAATCTTTCCTAGGATGTTCCCTACACCTCCCTTTATCTGCCACAGATTCATTATCTCTTGCACAAAGTGCACTGCTTTATCAATTCTGAATGACCAACCCATCTTTGCCCCCCCCCCCATCCAATCCCCTTTGCTCTCCTTTTTTCTTACAATATTCACAATACACATTAATCTCAAGCACTTCATTGCAACACCTATCCTGTACATTTGCAACAGCTACCACATTGCTTCCTTATCCACCTTATCATATGCCTTTTTCAAATCCATAAATACAAGAGAGTTCATTACCTATATTTAAATATTACTTATATACTCTGAATAAAACACTTGGCTCATACATCTCCTTCCTGTCTTTCTTGTTACTCTCCAATCCCTTTGTCCTGCAATTTAACTTTTTCAGTAATAGTATATAAACCTAGTATCCTCAGAAGTACGCTCAACAGACTGACTTCCATATAACTTCTATTTTTGTCCTTACTGCAAGCAATAATTGTTTTGCTATATCTGGTTTTAGGAGATATAAGAATAGAGATAGGAATAGGAGATATAAGAATGCACCTATTTCATGAAACTAATATTAGAGTATGAAGGCCTGGTACACCATGAAACTCTTTTACAAAGTTAGTCAACATACTTTTTTTTTTTTTGTACATAAATACTTAATACCTCAGAGAATGAATGTGAGAGTAACTGTGACTGACTTTTACTTTTACACCATTAGTCAGTTGATTTCAAAGATGCCAAGTATTTATAGTATTCAGATCATGTCCATCACTTGGGAAAATTAATCCTTTCAGGGTTTCGGCCATACTAGTACAGCTTACGAGCCAGGGTTTTTGACATACTAGTACATGTACGTCTAAATTCTACCACCCTCAAATCTAGTGAGAGAAAGCTGGTAGGCCTACATATGAAAGAATGGGTCTATGTGGTCAGTGTGCGTGGTATAAAAGAAATCCTGCAGCACACAGTGCGTAATGAGAAAAAAAAACTTTGACTGTTTTTAGATTAAAACTGCAACTTTGCACTGTATTTTCGTATGGTATTTATTGTTGTATTCTAGTTTTCCTGGTCTTATTTTATAGAATGGAAGACATATTACAAAAATTGAGATGATTTTGACTGGTTTTACAAAGAAAAGCACTTGAAATTGAGCTCAAAGTAGCATAAATGTTCGATTTTTACCAAAGTTCAAAAGTAAACAAATCATGTTATGCGTCCAATACACGTCAACTGGTGAGTCTAGTATTCTTTCACAAGTGTGCTGATATTATTTATACCATTTCTACACCAATGCAGTAGTCTGCATAACAGTAAATCTTCTATTTTTTTGTGAGAATAAAAATTCAAAGTGGAAAGCAAAAGAATGTAAGAGGGGCATGGGGACGTGACTAATGAACAGAGGAAGTGTTATTTTAGTGCCAGGAATGTCTTTCTTGTTTATTCTGGACCCTATTTGGAAATTGGCATCTTTTGAAATTTGTGTGAAATTGGCAAAATTGCTAAATTCTGACCACTGTATTGGATAGTTGAAATCAGTAAATGGGTGTTTTCTTGTACTTATTCGATAGAAAAAATGGAGTTCTAGCAAAACAGTTATGATTTTTGTCGACAAGTGCACTGGAATTGGCCGAAAATAGGGCTCAAAGTAGGCAGAATCACCGATGCGTACACATCGTCAAGACCGCTAACTTCGTGAGAGCATAATTCTGTAAGTTTTCCATCAAATTTCATACTTTTGGTGTCATTATGATCGGGAAATGATTCTCTATCCTTTCATAAGAAAAAATAATTTTTTTTTTCTTTTTTGAAATTTGGCTGACCCTGAGAACAAGTCTCTGAGAGGGCCTGTCGACCCTGAAAGGGTTAATGATTGCTAATACAGCGGACCCCCGGTTAACGATATTTTTTCACTCCAGAAGTATGTTCAGGTGCCAGTACTGACCGAATTTGTTCCCATAAGAAATATTGTGAAGTAGATTAGTCCATTTCAGACCCCCAAACATACACGTACAAACGCACTTACATAAATACACTTACATAATTGGTCGCATTCGGAGGTAATCGTTATGCGGGGGTCCACTGTATACTAGTTGTATTCGGTACTCATATTTTAATCTCCGAATTTTCCAACCAGATCTTGTGTGTGTAATGTATTATTCCCTGATGCAGAAATATGAAACCAGTTTCAAACACAGCCTTGTGAACTTTTACATTTCTTCTTACCATCCATGTTACTCTCATTAATACATGTATAACTACACATAACTAAATTTTTTGTAAATCTCCAAAATTTTACAAACCTCCATAATTACGCTGGACAAGATCATGATCACATTCAGCCTCAGAAAACTGGTTGGAAGCTGTAGAATTGTTAGAGTCGTTCAAAGAGGAGCCAAGACCAGAGGAGTCAAGGGGAAGATCTCCATTACGTGGTGGTGGTGGTGGAGGAGGCTCAGGTGATCCATGGCCTGTGCTTCCTGAGGTGCTTCCACGGTTCACTGCAACATTAATGAAAAATTAAGCTAGACTGTTTTAGATTCCTATTAAATGCTTTGTATAGGGACTTTTTGATTTTGACATTTTAAAATGTACATACGGCTGTATTTCCATTTTCACAAATATTGTTACAATAAGCCTTTGTAAAGTCACTTCTAAACTCTAAGCTGTTTGTTAGTTTTGCAACAAAAATAACAAGCAATTATGACTATCCCTCTGCTTGCATATTATGTGAAAAAATTATGTTCATGCAAGATTTTTAAAAGTATTTAGATAACAGTAATTCTGTGCACATTTCTCACTTTTATTTTTCACCAACATACATTATAAATTGTTTACTTTTTGGTAATTTGTCACTGCTCCTCCATTATTCATCCTCGAAATGCAAATTATCTCATTTAAAATATTTCTTCACTTATTTTCATAAAAAAAAAAAACAAACACTTCTTTGCCATGTGTACAAATGCAAAGGCTAAATTGATTGACCAAAACAAAAAAGAGGAAGCCTGTAAGGCTGGAATAGTGAACAAATAATCAGCCAATTTCCTCAATGTGCTGCATCAGCAGCACATTGAGGAAGGAATTCAAGTGAGCTAAGGCAACACCAGGCCTTGCCTAGTATTTATTAGGAAAGAAAATTCTCAGTGAGCTGTCTAATGCCACTTTGTAAAAAGTAATCTTGTTCTGCTGGAAATGAGTTACATACAGTACTGTATTGATAAATATAACTTGTTACAAAAAAAGTTATAAGAAAGGAAGTATGATTATCCAAAACAGCATTTTAGAGAAACAAAATAAAATATTACAAGGGATAGATTTAAAAGTTATACATTGAGAATTCTGCACCCCCCCCCCCAAAAAAAAAGAAAAAAAAAAAAAATGAAGTAAAAAATGGTTTGACAGAAGGTGAATAAAAAAACATGAAAAAGACAGGACTTGGAACCAGTAAAGAACATGAGGCAACCCAGAGACTTGACAGAGTCAAACAAGCCAAAAATAAATATACAAAATCAGGAAGAAAAAAAAAATTGAAATAGTAATAGCTGGCAAGAACAGAAAATTAAATTTCTAAGTTTGTGAATAGCAAACTTGGTGTGAAATCAACATATCAAGGACAACAACAAAATAACTGAAGTGAAGGAAGAAATGCGAGAGATAGTACATACGAAGTTGCAGTGTGAGCTGACAGAGGACACCTTAGAACAAGTAGATTTAAACCCAAAACAACTAACTGAAATAGAAGATATTAAAATTTTCGAAGTGGGAAAAAATGCTACTACTGGACACTGATAAGGGTAAAAATACTACTACCAGGCAAGGTAGTAGTGTACGTAGGTTTTCAAAGAAGGTGCAGAAAAGCTAAAGTACTAACTCAGGATTTTTTTATTTTAATGTTATAACAAAAATGTAAATTTGCAGAGGAATGGAAAATGGTGCATATTTTCCCAATGTATCCAGATGCCCACCTATGTACTGACCCAAGCACCCTATCACCTGCCAAGATGTACATACACCCACTTGCCCACCAGAATTTATGCCCACTCAGTCATCACCTGCCAAACACCATCCACCTTCGTGGGTCCACTATTGGACCCTTGAATTTCATCATCCTTTTCTGTATGTAAAAGTATAGTTATTCTCTATAAAATGTATTTTTTGTTAATATTTCCCATAAGAAATAATGTAAATGAAACGAAATAATTGGATTTACATTATTTCTTATGGGAAATATTAACAAAAAATACATTTTATAGAGAATAACTACAGTTTTACATACAGAAAAGGGATGATGAAATTCGAGGGTCCAATGTATTTGGAGCATCCACTGTCCACAGCCCATTTGAAAAGTTATGGTCCTGTGGTCTGAAATCCGGGAGGCTGTTATTCGAGCCCAGAGCGTCTGGTCCCACCACCCGACGACGACGGACTTTTTAACTACAACGCCGTCGCCGATGGTGATATGATAGAGTATGAATGGCGATATGACGGTACGGATGTGCATTTGCCCCCTTCACATATCTGGAAACTGTGTTTCCGAACCAGTCTTGGCCCATATAGTTTGGATATGAGAGGTATCACTGTACAGTGGACCCTCGAGTTAAGAACCACTCCCAATATGACAAATTATGTAAGTGTATTTTTGTAAATGCTTTTGTAAGTATATTTTTGGGGGACTGATACAGATTAATTTATTTTACATTATTCCTGATGAGAGGAAATTCGTTCAGTAACAGCACTTGACCAGCCGTCTGGAACGAAAAAAGTTTGTAACTCGAGGGTCCACTGTATTGACATTTTTACTTATTTGCCTATCACTTACCTTCCAAAATATTAAACATAAGATAAATAACACAGAAACATAATACAGAATCCCAAATGAATAAAAACTGACATTCTGAAGAGTGGTTGGAGTAAAGTATAAAAAGCGGTGTACGGCAGTGTACGCATAAGAATTTAATATTGCTCTCTATTGTCCACTAACACTAGAGAAAACTGTGTCACAGGGGTTACTGTAGAAGAACACTATCATATGCCAAGACCATAAATAACCTGATTCTCAAAAAAATATTTTTTTCTGAGTAATATGCTTGGCAAAATTTTCATTATCATCTTGGAAGTTATTGACTTATTTATTGCTAGTGTTCCATTAATAATGAATGGATTGAAAGGATTTTCATGAGATTCAACAACGAAATTTTTACAAGCTGGTGATGCACTTTTTCAAATATCCTCAACTTTTTTTTTTTTTATTTGTGGGGGTAAAGGGAAGATATTTTAAGTATCAAAAATTTGCCAACTTTATTGTTTATGGGAGTGAAGATAAGGTATATTATAGTATTTCTCATTGTGATAAAATTGGATCAGCATTGTTTTATCAGTATGGAGTGCCCAGTACATGCCATGAGGCTGACAAATTTAATTATTAGTATGTATTTTTTCATTTGTTTGTTGGCTGATCTATCTAAACATAAGGAATGTACTCTTGTTAAAGCATATCAAAACTGAACAAAATAGGATGAATGAGAATGTTAAAAAAAAAAAAAAAGTCACACTTTACTCATGATCGTTTTTTGGCCAGGGAGAAGAAGAGAGAAGGGGAGGATGGGGAAGGGAAGAGAGGGGGGATATGTGGGAGGGAGAGAGAGAGAGGAGGGGAGGGAGGGGGGGAAGGGAGAGAGAGGGGGGAGGGGGGGGGAGAGAGAGGGGGGGGGAGAGGGGGGGAGAGAGAGGGGGGAGAGAGAGGGGGGGAGAGAGAGGGGGGGGGAGAGAGAGGGGGGGAGAGAGAGGGGGGGAGAGAGGGGAGGAGGGGGAGAGAGAGAGGAGGGAGGGGAGAGGGGGGGAGAGAGAGGGGGAGAGAGAGGGGGAGAGAGAGAGGGGGAGAGGGGGAGAGAGAGGGGGAGAGAGAGGGGGGGAGAGAGAGGGGGGAGAGAGAGGGGGAGAGAGAGAGGGGGGAGAGGGAGAGAGGGGGGGAGAGAGAGGGGGAGAGAGAGGGGGAGAGAGAGGGGGGAGAGAGAGGGGGAGAGAGAGGGGGGAGGGGAGGGGGGGAGAGAGAGGGGGGAGAGAGGGAGGGGGAGAGGGGGGAGAGAGAGGGGGAGAGAGGGGGGGAGAGAGAGGGAGGGGGAGAGAGGGGGGGAGAGGGGGGGAAGAGAGGGGGGAGAGGGGGGAGAGAGAGGGAGAGGAGGGGGGAGAGAGGAGGGAGAGAGGAGGGGAGAGAGAGGAGGGGAGAGAGAGGAGGGGAGAGAGAGGAGGGGAGGAGAGAGGAGGGGAGAGAGGAGGAGGGGAGAGAGAGGAGGGGAGAGAGAGGAGGGGAGAGAGAGGAGGGGAGAGAGAGGAGGGGAGAGAGAGGAGGGAGGAGAGAGAGGGGGGGGAGAGAGGAGAGGAGAGGAGGGGGAGAGAGAGGAGGGGAGAAAGAGGGGGGAGAGAGAGAGAGAGGTGTGATAAGTGATATCATTCTCGCTGTCCTCGAAGCAGACCCAAGTGTGGTACAGTGGACCCTTGGTTATCGGCCGTTCCGAATATCGGCCAATTCGGATTTCGGTTGCTTTTTTGGCCGAAATTCTATCCTGGTTTTCAGCCGTCATTTCGGAGATCAGCCATAATGGACGTGTCCACCCGCCGTTCCACTGCGTTCGTGAGTCAGTCTGGCTGTGTGTCTGGATGAGTAAGGAAGGCTCCGTGCATTAATCCAAACATTCCACTATAATCCATTGTTTTTTGTGGTTATTGAGTGCAATTGCAAAATAAGCCACCATGGGCCCAAAGAAAAGTTCCTAGTAAAGTTCCTTTAGTAAAGAAAGTTAGAAACATGATGGAATTTAAGAAAGAAATTGTAGCAAAGTACAAGTGGTGTTCAAGTGCTTGAGCTTGCCAGGATGTATGGGAAATCCAAATCAACAATCATTTCCATCCTAGCAAAGAAAGTAGAAATTAAGGAAGCTAATGATGCAAATGGGGTAAATGTGCTAACAAAACAAAGTTCACCAATAATCGAAGATGTGGAGAACTCATCGTTGGTGTGGATCAACGAAAAACAATCAGTGGGAGATAGCGTTGTGGAGTCGATCACAAGTGAAAAGGCAAGGCAGTTGCATGCAGATCTCGTAAAGAAAATGCCTGGAACGAGTGCTGCTATTAGTGAATTTAGGACCAGCAAAGGCTGGTTTGAGAGATTTAACCCTTTGACTGTTTCGGTCGTGTATATATGTCTTACGAGCCAGTGTTTTTGATGTATTAATATGCCAAAATTCTAGCAGCTTCAAATCAAGTGGGAGAAAGCTGGTAGGCCCACATGTGAGAGAATGGGTCTGTGGTCACTGTGTGCAGTATAAAAAAAAAAAAAAACCCTGCAGCACGCAGTGCATAATGAGAGAGAAAAAACTGTTTTTGGATTAAAACTCCGAATTTGAGGTGTATTTTCATATAGTATTTATGGTTGTATTCTCAATTTCTTGGTCTCATTTGATAGAATGAAGACATATTACAGAAATAGAGATGATTTTGA